AATAAATTAGTATCACCAGATGGGATTTGTACCCATGTCCTTCCTCATATAACAAGATAACGTAATTTGAAATTTCATATTAAGTTTGATTACTTACCGGCCACCCAGAAGCGATTTATCGATACCTGACTGAAAAGAAACGTGGCCATTACTGTGGCGGCAGCATTACTGTGGCGGCAGCATTACTGTGGCGGCAGCATTACTGTGGAGGCAGCATTACTGTGGAGGCAGCATTACTGTGGCGGCAGCATTACTGTGGCGGCAGCATTACTGCGGATGCAGCATTACTGTGGAGGCAGCATTACTGTGGAGGCAGCATTACTGTGGCGGCAGCATTACTGTGGAGGCAGCATTACTGTGGAGGCAGCATTACTGTGGCGGCAGCATTATTGTGGAGGCAGCATTACTGTGGAGGCAGCATTACTGCGGAGGCAGCATTACTATGTGTAAAGTCATGCACTAGGTATCCAGGGATCCCATCACAATGGTTGTACTCTTCAAGGCACTTGTGTTGTCCCGTCTTGAGTACTGCTCAGTACTCACTTCCCCCTTCAAAGCAGGAGAGATTGCTGAAATAGAGGGAATACAGAGAACATATACGGCACGCATAGACGCAATAAAGCACCTAAATTATTGGGATCGTCTCAAAGCCCTCCAAATGTACTCACTAGAAAGAAGACGAGAGAGATATCAAATAATATACACCTGGAAGATACTGGAGGGTCAAGTACCAAATCTACACAGTAAAATAACAACGTACTGGAGTGAACGACATGGAAGAAAATGTAGAATAGAACCAATGAAGAGCAGAGGTGCCATAGGCACAATCAGAGAACACTGTATAAACATCAGAGGTCCGCGGTTGTTCAACGTCCTCCCAGCAAGCATAAGAAATATTGCCGGAACAACAGTGGACATTTTCAAGAGGAAACTAGATTTATTCCTCCAAGGAGTGCCGGACCAACCGGGCTGTGGTGGGTATGTGGGCCTGCGGGCCGCTCCAAGCAACAGCCTGGTGGACCAAACTCTCACAAGTCGAGCCTGGCCTCGGGCCGGGCTTGGGGAGTAGAAGAACTCCCAGAACCCCATCAACCAGGTATCAACCAGGTAGGAATGCCCTCCAGCCACAAGTTTAACGCTAGATTCTTGGCAGAATTTGAGCGTGAGGAAAGATCGCTCATAACGGAACAGGTACAATTAATCTGGCAGGCGAGGCATGGAGCGTTACTGCTTGGCAAGTACTGTTACTCCTTCAACACCAACTCGACCTTCTCCAGTCTGTACTCATTACAGTAACAGCACCTTGTAAACATTGTAGCCACCACTGGAGCCGGTCGGCCGAGCGGACAGCACGCTGGACTTGTGATCCTGTGGTCCTGGGTTCGATCCCAGGCGCCGGCGAGAAACAATGGGCAGAGTTTCTTTCACCCTATGCCCCTGTTACCTAGCAGTAAAATAGGTACCTGGGTGTTAGTCAGCTGTCACGGGCTGCTTCCTGGGGGTGGAGGCCTGGTCGAGCACCGGGCCGCGGGGACACTAAAAAGCCCCGAAATCATCTCAAGATAGCCTCAAGATAACCACTCCTGGGTGTACCCTGTGATATACGCTCCCAGGGGGAGACCTATCCTGTCTTGATATCTTGATAATTTATCCTCAAATTTGGCAATGCTGACTATTGATGCCATGGCTCTTGATGACTAACCTGGATTGTACCTGGATAGGGTTCTGAGAGTTCTAATACTCTCCAAGCCTGGCCCAGGGCCAGGCTCGACTTGTAATAACTTGGTCCAACAGGCTGTTGCCTGGAGCGGCCCGCAGGTCCACATATCCACCACATAACCAGTCTGTGTGATGGGGCTATACTTGTCCTCGCCTTCATGCGCATGTGCCTTTAAAAAAACAAAAAGGATCAGCACATGTCTAGTTACTCCTTGCAGTGTGAGAAGTCACAGTATGTACGTTCGTGTGTGTATGGTATACATGTGATGACCCTTGCATAAAGCCAATTACACTGAAGAGTTGTGCGTGGTGTACGGACAGAGATGAAGGTCTCCGAATGGAATGTAAACATAGGTAGAAGTCAAGAGACGGGATTTGAGAACGAATACATTTTGGTAATGCAAGGTCTTTGTGAGTGACACGAAGGGAGTGGAGTGCATAGATCGAGTGACGGAGGGAGTGGAGTGCGTAGTGAGTGACACGGAGGGAGTGGAGTGCGTAGTGAGTGACAGGGAGGGAGTGGAAGGGAGGTGGACTACCTACTCTGGAGGCTGTATAGCCTCCAGAGGTGTGCGACCATTAGTAGCCCAGCAGGAGGTGAGTGGTAGGGTATAATGCCAGCTAGTGAGTGAGTGAGTGAGTGAGTGAGTGAGTGAGTGAGTGAGTGAGTGAGTGAGTGAGTGAGTGAGTGAGTGAGTGAGTGAGTGAGTGAGTGAGTGAGTGAGTGAGTGAGTGAGTGAGTGAGTGAGTGAGTGAGTGAGTGAGTGAGTGAGTGAGTGAGTGAGTGAGTGAGTGAGTGAGTGAGTGAGTGAGTGAGTGAGTGAGTGAGTGAGTGAGTGAGTGAGTGAGTGAGTGTGAGTGAGTGAGTGAGTGAGTGAGTGAGTGAGTGAGTGAGTGAGTGAGTGAGTGAGTGAGTGAGTGAGTGAGTGAGTGAGTGAGTGAGTGAGTGAGTGAGTGAGTGAGTGAGTGAGTGAGTGAGTGAGTGAGTGAGTGAGTGAGTGAGTGAGTGAGTGAGTGAGTGAGTGAGTGAGTGAGTGAGTGAGTGAGTGAGTGAGTGAGTGAGTGAGTGAGTGAGTGAGTGAGTGAGTGAGTGAGTAGAGGGAGAGAGGGAGAGAGGGAGAGAGGGAGAGAGGGATGGAAGCAGTGTGAGGTGAGCGTGCTGTTGACCTTGTGAGCGGTGGTCGCCCCGAGCCCTCACAGCAAGGACACCCTCCCTGCCTCCCTCACTGCTTCTCCCTCACACTACAGTCTCTGGCTCTGGTAATCATTCATTTCTCCTTCACGCCTCCCTTTCTCTCCTTTCACACACAGTTTTTCTCAATGTGCTTTCGTACTGCTTGCTTTCATTCCTTCCACTTTTTTCCCTTCCTCACTCTGCGACCTTCCTCACACATTTTCCTTATTCTAACCTTTCTGTTCAACACCCACCCCGCAATCATTAGTAATTTTGAAGGAACGAAGTTTAATATCTTCAAGAATCAATTAGATAAGTTCTTGCAAGAAGTGGCGGACCAACCGGGCTGTGGTGGATATGTGGGCCTGCGGCCCACTCCAAGCAACAGCCTGTTGGACCAAGTTATCACAAGTCGAGCCTGGCCTCGGGCCGGACTCGGGGAGTAGACCAACTCCCAGAACCCTCTCCAGATAAGACCCAGGTAAATGTTATCGCTGGATCTGTTTCCACTTTTGTTAGTTCTTCAGTTTTCAGTCTTGCTATTGTTATTTTCCAATATGCTTCGTTCTCAGATTTTGGAGCTGTTTTCTCTTTTGGTCGCACCATTTATTTTATGTAGATATATACTGTACAATATATATATATATTTTAATTCTCAGTATGTCGAGCCTGGCCTCAGGCCGGGTTTAGGGAGTAAAAGAACTCCCAAAACCCTCTCTGGGTATGCTCCAGGTATGATGTATTCATTTAGGACATGCATGTCATTTAGGACATGCATGTCATTTAGGACATGCATGTCATTTAGGACATGCATGTCATTTAGGACATGCATGTCATTTAGGACATGCATGTCATTTAGGACATGCATGTCATTTAGGACATGCATGTCATTTAGGACATGCATGTCATTTAGGACATGCATGTCATTTAGGACATGCGATGGTATGAAAGTTGAGGATACCGCCCAGGGATCACTGGTCTCAGGCTCCCTGTAGCTGACCGAGGTGGTGTGAGGTCAGGCACTTGACGCCCCGCTGATGTCCTCTCCTAACTGTTGTGTTTTTAAAGTAATTTATGTGCGTGTTGTTCGTCGTTCATTGCATAACAATTGCTAGCCAACCCATACTAACTGGTAGTACTTCCTTTCGTTTCTACGACTCGTGTTACTACCTTCCCCCGATGTCCTCGAACTTTAAGGAGGCTTTCCCTGTCCGCCGTGTTTATTTCCGTAGTAACTTATACGTTGCAAGCTTGAATAGTCATGCTGGTGGCATAGGCACCTGATAATAGTTGTCGGGTCACGTGTTCTTTCCCTGTCCTCATAGCTTAGTACTTTTAACTCCGATACTAGTGGTATTGGAGACCTCCTAATGGTTCACCTTCGCCTGTGGTGGTCGCTCTCCCTGCCCGTGCTCACGAGTGTTCCCAGCGTCAAGAACCTGGGGTCTCCACCACTCTCCCAGAGAATTATTTGGATTCGGAACTTGTCCGCTCTATTTTGTTGGTTTTTACATTTAGATCTATTGTACTTAATGTAGTGGGGAAGATGAAACTCTCACTGTTTAGCTCCTTGGTAGACTTAGTTAGCATCGTAGGAAGTTTCACGGTCAAAGGATGGTGTTTCCTCGCGAAGTGTGAAAGGTTTTAGTTTAATGATAAAATAAATACAACCGGTGCTTCCAGTGGTGTGTGTGTGTGTTTAGTTTTTTCTTTGTTTATTTGTGCAGGGCTATTCCTTCGCGGGCCCTAAACCTCTGACTGATCCACTAATTAAATTAATTTTAATTAAATTTTGCCCCGAGGGGCGAGTTTATTGGGCAGCGCCACTCATCCTGTGAGTGGACACACCGCCATAGCAGCATGTACAACACTCCCCAATAGGAAGAAACCCCACTGGGTTGTTCATCCTGTCACTTGTACCCAGACACAGCTGGGAATTGCCTAACTGTCTCAAGTGAACAGCTTATCAAACAATTAGATTAACATTGCCAACCGTTAAAATCTTAGGTTATCTTGCGGGTGCAAAATGGTGGAATCTTTTTAAGAACAGTATCTATATTTGATACTATGACCCACCGCCACTAAGTGTTACGCATTCCTGTCTTATTTAAGCCATGGATGAGTATTTATTACTCGTATGTTGGCTTCCAGGCGTGGCTCCTGACTTTGTCGGGGCTTCCAGGCGTGGCTCCTGACTTTGTCGGGGCTTCCAGGCGTGGCTCCTGACTTTGTCGGGGCTTCCAGGCGTGGCTCCTGACTTTGTCGGGGCTTCCAGGCGAGGCTCCTGACTTTGTCGGGGCTTCCAGGCGTGGCTCCTGACTTTGTCGGGGCTTCCAGGCGTGGCTCCTGACTTTGTCGGGGCTTCCAGGCGTGGCTCCTGACTTTGTTGGAGCTTCCAGGCGTGGCTCCTGACTTTGTCGGGGCTTTCAGGCGTGGCTCCTGACTTTGTCGGGGCTTCCAGGCGTGGCTCCTGACTTTGTCGGGGCTTCCAGGCGTGGCTCCTGACTTTGTCGGGGCTTCCAGGCGTGGCTCCTGACTTTGTCGGGGCTTCCAGGCGTGGCTCCTGACTTTGTCGGGGCTTCCAGGCGTGGCTCCTGACTTTGTCGGGGCTTCCAGGCGAGGCTCCTGACTTTGTCGGGGCTTCCAGGCGTGGCTCCTGACTTTGTCGGGGCTTCCAGGCGTGGCTCCTGACTTTGTCGGGGCTTCCAGGCGTGGCTCCTGACTTTGTCGGGGCTTCCAGGCGTGGCTCCTGACTTTGTTGGAGCTTCCAGGCGTGGCTCCTGACTTTGTCGGGGCTTTCAGGCGTGGCTCCTGACTTTGTCGGGGCTTCCAGGCGTGGCTCCTGACTTTGTCGGGGCTTCCAGGCGTGGCTCCTGACTTTGTCGGGGCTTCCAGGCGTGGCTCCTGACTTTGTCGGGGCTTCCAGGCGTGGCTCCTGACTTTGTCGGGGCTTCCAGGCGTGGCTCCTGACTTTGTCGGGGCTTCCAGGCGTGGCTCCTGACTTTGTCGGGGCTTCCAGGCGTGGCTCCTGACTTTGTCGGGGCTTCCAGGCGTGGCTCCTGACTTTGTCGGGGCTTCCAGGCGTGGCTCCTGACTTTGTCGGGGCTTCCAGGCGTGGCTCCTGACTTTGTCGGGGCTTCCAGGCGTGGCTCCTGACTTTGTCGGGGCTTCCAGGCGTGGCTCCTGACTTTGTCGGGGCTTCCAGGCGTGGCTCCTGACTTTGTCGGGGCTTCCAGGCGTGGCTCCTGACTTTGTCGGGGCTTCCAGGCGTAACTTGATATTGCCTGTTGTGGCTCATTGTTTCCTGTTTGTTGTGGTTCGTCGTTTCCTGTTGTGGTTCATAGATTCCAGCGGTTTTTCAGTGGGTACCATCCACGCCATTATTCCCCTCCCCCCTTCCCGAATCCCATTACCCCCATTCATCCCGAATCGGAATCCTCCGCCTACCCTCCATGGAGCTCTCTGCTCCTTACGGACATTTATTTGATGATTCAGCATGCTGCACTAAGACATTTTATAATGTTTGTATTGAGGACATTAATAATAATGTTTGTGTTGAGAGATTCCTGTTATGTTTCTCCTGCTGCTGCTGCTCTCTGCTGACTTCTCCAGCAGTAGTGGCCAGAGTCACCTACCTTAGTTACCGCTGCCAGCGTGGTGGTGGTGGTAGTTACCGCTGCCAGCGTGGTGGTGGTGGTAGTTACCGCTGCCAGCGTGGTGGTGGTAGTTACCGCTGCCAGCGTGGTGGTGGTAGTTACCGCTGCCAGCGTGGTGGTGGTGGTAGTTACCGCTGCCAGCGTGGTGGTGGTGGTAGTTACCGCTGCCAGCGTGGTGGTGGTGGTAGTTACCGCTGCCAGCGTGGTGGTGGTAGTTACCGCTGCCAGCGTGGTGGTGGTAGTTACCGCTGCCAGCGTGGTGGTGGTAGTTACCGCTGCCAGCGTGGTGGTGGTGGTAGTTACCGCTGCCAGCGTGGTGGTGGTGGTTACCGCTGCCAGCGTGGTGGTGGTGGTAGTTACCGCTGCCAGCGTGGTGGTGGTGGTAGTTACCGCTGCCAGCGTGGTGGTGGTGGTAGTTACCGCTGCCAGCGTGGTGGTGGTGGTAGTTACCGCTGCCAGCGTGGTGGTGGTGGAAGTTACCGCTGCCAGCGTGGTGGTGGTAGTTACCGCTGCCAGCGTGGTGGTGGTGGTAGTTACCGCTGCCAGCGTGGTGGTGGTAGTTACCGCTGCCAGCGTGGTGGTGGTGGTAGTTACCGCTGCCAGCGTGGTGGTGGTGGTAGTTACCGCTGCCAGCGTGGTGGTGGTAGTAGTTACCGCTGCCAGCGTGGTGGTGGTAGTTACCGCTGCCAGCGTGGTGGTGGTAGTAGTTACCGCTGCCAGCGTGGTGGTGGTGGTAGTTACCGCTGCCAGTGTGGTGGTGGTGGTAGTTACCGCTGCCAGCGTGGTGGTGGTGGTAGTTACCGCTGCCAGCGTGGTGGTGGTAGTAGTTACCGCTGCCAGCGTGGTGGTGGTAGTTACCGCTGCCAGCGTGGTGGTGGTAGTAGTTACCGCTGCCAGCGTGGTGGTGGTGGTAGTTACCGCTGCCAGTGTGGTGGTGGTGGTAGTTACCGCTGCCAGCGTGGTGGTGGTGGTAGTTACCGCTGCCAGCGTGGTGGTGGTAGTTACCGCTGCCAGTGTGGTGGTGGTGGTAGTTACCGCTGCCAGCGTGGTGGTGGTGGTGGTAGTTACCGCTGCCAGCGTGGTGGTGGTAGTTACCGCTGCCAGCGTGGTGGTGGTGGTAGTTACCGCTGCCAGCGTGGTGGTGGTGGTAGTTACCGCTGCCAGCGTGGTGGTGGTAGTTACCGCTGCCAGCGTGGTGGTGGTAGTAGTTACCGCTGCCAGCGTGGTGGTGGTGGAAGTTACCGCTGCCAGCGTGGTGGTGGTAGTTACCGCTGCCAGTGTGGTGGTGGTGGTAGTTACCGCTGCCAGCGTGGTGGTGGTAGTTACCGCTGCCAGCGTGGTGGTGGTGGTAGTTACCGCTGCCAGCGTGGTGGTGGTAGTAGTTACCGCTGCCAGCGTGGTGGTGGTGGTAGTTACCGCTGCCAGCGTGGTGGTGGTGGTAGTTACCGCTGCCAGCGTGGTGGTGGTGGTAGTTACCGCTGCCAGCGTGGTGGTGGTGGTAGTTACCGCTGCCAGCGTGGTGGTGGTAGTTACCGCTGCCAGCGTGGTGGTGGTGGTAGTTACCGCTGCCAGCGTGGTGGTGGTGGTAGTTACCGCTGCCAGCGTGGTGGTGGTGGTGCTCGCGGTGTTGACGGTGGTAGTGGTGGTGTTGTGGTGGCAGCGCCGGAGGCAGTGGTGGTGGTGGTAACTACTGCAATAGATTGGTGGTTGTCGTTAGTGCGAGCAGGTGGCCGCTGATAAACTTTGCTTGGGTTTACTCAAATGTTTATTAGAGTATCTTGCTCTGGTAGACTGTACACTCACCTCACAGCTGTGCCTCTTGTGTTCCTCTAGTCCCCGCTTCAGCCCGGTGTTGTTCATAGGTTGATGTGGTGGTGTGTTGTTGATGTGGACACGAGTCCATTCACACCTGTCCACCTGTGGATGGACAGGTGGTCAGGAGTTGATGTGGTGGATAACTTGAAGCTCTTGAGGTTATCTTGAGATGATTTCGGGGCTTTTAGTGTCCCCGCGGCCCGGTCCTCGACCAGGCCTCCACCCCCAGGAAGCAGCCCGTAACAGCTGTCTAACTCCCAGGTACCTATTTACTGCTAGGTAATAGGATCATCAAAGTGAAAGAAACATTTTGCCCATTTGCCTCCGCCTCCACCGGGGATCGAACCTGGAACCTCAGGACTACGAATCCGAAGCGCTGTCCACCCAGCTGTCAGGCGCCCTTCCGTTGATCAGTAACTGACCCATTCTCAACTGGAAAACTTCACTGTGTATTCGCACATCAAATTTTTCCTTCTGTAAACATAAGCATCTCTCGGCGGAAGTTTAGAGTGGCGCTGATTGCAACAGACAAGATATTTACCAGTTAGGGCACCGGCCTTCCTGATGGGGTTATGACCTGAGGAGCTTGACCCCTCCTGGCCCAGATGCTGGAGAAGAGGAAGAATGCTTGAAGCAAGCAAGAGACACACAGCAGGTATTACCCCCCGGTAGGGAGCCGGTCGGCCGAGCGGACAGCACGCTGGACTTGTGGTCCTGGGTTCGATCCCAGGCGCCGGCGAGAAACAATGGGCAGAGTTTCTTTCACCCTATGCCGTTACCTAGCAGTAAAATAGGTACCTGGGTCTTAGTCAGCTGTCACGGGCTGCTTCCTGGGGGTGGAGGCCTGGTCGAGGACCGGGCCGCGGGGACACTAAAAGCCCCGAAATCATCTCAAGATAACCTTAAGATAACCCCGCACGGAGTTTACCTGCCGTTTGAACGACTGTTCTACGCCTTCTGCAGGTAGTTTTTGTCATCTACACGGCATCGCGTCGGTAGCTATAGGCGGGGTATAGACCTCACTGATGATGATAGACCTCACTGATAGATAGATAGATATAGACCTCACTGATAGATGAGCTATAGACCTCACAAATCCAGCTCCGAACATCATCCTGCTTGGGGACTTCAACCTACGGCACCTGAAATGGAAGCACCTGGCTAATACAGTAATATCAGAAAGAATACCAGGAAGTAGCCTAAATGAGCAGGCACATGCAAATGACCTGCTACGGATGTGCGATAGGTTTGCCTTAAACCAGCAAATAGTAGAACCAACTAGGAAGGAGAACACGCTGGACCTCATTTTCACTAATAATGATGAGTTGATCGGGAACATAATGATTACAAATACCTGTTACTCAGATCACAACTTAATTGAAGTTCTGACAACCATGGGGAATGGACCTTCAAAACCAGTCCAGAGTCCCGGTGGAGGAGATTTCAGCAAATTCAACTTCAATAATAAACGGATAAACTGGGAGCAAATAAACCAGGACTTCACAGAAATAAACTGGGAAGAACAGCTAGGAAATGCAAACCTGAACCAGTGCCTGGAAAAAATAAGCTCAGTAGCACTAGAGATATGTTCAAACCGCATACCCTAAGAAAAAAGAGAAAGAGATGCAGATTGGAACGGGAACGTCGTTCCCTATATAGGCGAAGAAAACGAATCGCGGAACAACTTGAGAGTCGCACCCTATCTCAAGAACGGCGAAGAAGGTTAGGTAGAGAAATAGAAACAATTGAACTCAAGCTACAAGAATCATACAAAACCCAGGAGAGGCAAAGAGAGCAAAAGGCCATCAGTGAAATAGAGAGAAATCCGAAATATTTTTTCTCCTATGCAAAATCAAGATCAAAAACCACATCTAGTATCGGGCCCCTGCGAAAGGGAGATGGAACTTTCACAGATGACAACAAAGAAATGAGCGAGTTACTGAGGAAGCAGTACGACTCTGTTTTCAGTGAGCCATTAAATGCACTAAAGATTGATAACCCAAATGAATTTTTCATGGATATGATACCAACATCAAATCATATATCAGACGTCGCCCTATCCCCACTAGATTTTGAAGAAGCCATAAACAGTATGCCTATGCACTCTGCACCAGGCCCGGATTCTTGGAACTCCATATTCATCAAGAACTGTAAAAAACCACTATCGCAGGCCCTTCACATTCTGTGGAGACAAAGCCTAGATACTGGCGTTATTCCTGACATACTAAAAACAGCAGAGATAGCACCACTCCATAAAGGAGGAAATAAGGCAGAGGCAAAAAATTACAGACCGATAGCACTAACATCGCACATCATAAAAATTTTTGAGAGAGTGCTAAGAAGTAAGATCACAAAATACATGGAATCACAGCATCTCCATAACCCCGGACAACATGGTTTCAGAACAGGGCGCTCTTGCCTGTCGCAGTTGCTGGACCACTATGATATGGCATTAGATGCTATGGAAGACAAACAAAACGCTGATGTAATTTACACAGATTTCGCAAAAGCTTTTGATAAATGTGACCATGGTGTTATTGCACATAAAATGCGTTCAAAAGGAATTACCGGGAAAATAGGCAGATGGATCTACAATTTCCTGACTGACAGAACCCAATGTGTAATAGTCAACAAAACAAAATCCAGCCCATCAACCGTGAAGAGCTCAGTCCCCCAGGGTACTGTGCTTGCTCCAGTACTTTTTCTCATCCTCATATCGGACATAGACCAGAACATAACCTATAGCACTGTATCATCCTTTGCAGATGACACTAGGATTTTCATGAGAGTTGGCAACATAGAGGACACGGCAAACCTCCAATCAGAT